CTTCTTTTGAATATAAATATTTCTGCCCCTGTTTTGTTTTGAAAATATATCCTGCTGGCCCTCTTTACTCCTCAGGTTTCTTTCTTTTTTGGTCTGAGCTGTACTATTTGCCTACCAAAAGTGTTATGAAATACTAGACCTTTCATCTAACCTCCAAATCAGTGGCAGGCAACTCTGGCCTTTCAGTTCTGCTTTAACTACAAATTCCAACATGCCTCTGGGAGTCATGCCTGTAACTGTCAGTCTTACAATGCCTCATGGGACTTGTAGTTCCACAACATCTAGAGGGCCGGAGTTGCCCACCCCTGCTCTAGTTCATAGTATTTATGTTTAAAACCCAATAAAGGTAAAAGTGGTTTTAACCAACCATGTTTTGCATTTTTTTTTTTTTATGTCCCATAAGTTTCATAAAAATTTTTAAATAACAGAAAAACAAGGCACAATAACACAAAGTTACATCAATATTTTAGACACAAGAAAAGGGTAGGTAAAAATGGATACAAATATAATATATTCAGACAAGGAAAACCAATAACAGAGGGTAAATATTTGTAACAAGACAGGTCCGTCCAGTTTCTCATATGACTTGAGGGTAGGACAAGAGACAAAAAACATCTCATCAGAATCCCAGAGGCATGTAAAATACAGGTTACAAGTCTACCCTGGGTAACGTGATGCCGGAATTATGCCACTCTATAGTCTCGCTCCATCTTGACCGTGTTTTGCATATTAATTCTTCACAGTCCCAATAACTGGGGGTGCGGAAGAGGTTGGCTATACTTTGCGCTAGAAAGTGCCCCAATTTTTCATTTTAGAAGGTTGGGAAGGATGCACACTAGTTCAATTATGTTTTCCTTAAAAAGTCATAAATTGATTTTGTGGTTTTACTGTTATTACTTAATATCTGTCTCTATGGAGTTGTTTTAGATGAATGTTTAATGTTTAGGGTTGTGTTGTCAGTGCCCTGTAAACTGGTTAAGGGGGGAGAAAGATACCTCTCTGAGCTTACAGGGGGCTTGGAGCTCAGGGTGGGCATTCTTAGTGGGTCGATATGTGGTCCAAAGAGTAGACAAAAGGTGGGACAGTGTACCAAAGTCTGTAGTATTGCAGGCTGTGAATGGTGGAAATGCCCACTATGTAATATGCTATAAAGCATTTCCAGGAAAGGCAGGTGAGAAGAGTGAGCCCATTTCCTGATAACTCTTTGCACTGGTAAAATGATTCTGTATTTGTGTTTGTTTTCTATTTCGCTTAATAGAGCTGCCATTAAAATAGTTTAGTGCATGCCATGGTGCTGTAAGCGATGTAAACATGAAATGTGAGTTTGCCTACCTAATGGCATGTATTTTTACAACTGTGGTAAGCAGATTTTTCATCCCGCAGCCACCAAAGTGTGCACACTGACTCCAGCTGTCCGAAGGAATTTTCCTAA